GGGTAATTGACAATCCTTGCACGGACTTTATTGAACGTTTTCAGGTGTTGTACAAAATGATGATATCAATTACGGGAGCTCAGAATGCCGGATTTCGCCACAACTCTCCTAGTAAGTCAAAAAAACATACCAAGGGGGTTTGTTTTAGCTCAAAATATTGTAATACAAAAAAGTTAGAGCAACCTCTGTTCTTGAAACTGGGTAGGCATGCTAATTTTCGATATTTTCACTATTTTGCCGATATTTCAGAGACCCCCGTTTATAGCGCATCAAAAAATATACTAAGATTTTTAATTTCATCTGAAAACAGTTTAATATAAAATAATTATGGTAAAAACAGGATTTAAAAGCGGTTTCCGCATGGGAACATTAAGTGTGCAGCTAGTTTTCGACATTTTCTGTATTTTTACAAAATTTCCTGAACGTCATTCGAAAGATCATCAAAAATATACAAAAAGTTTTAATGAAAGCTCAGAATAACGTATTATAAAATAGCTACAGCAAAAAGAAGTAGCCGCAACTTTTCCGCCCTCACAGTTTTTTCACCCGCTCCAAATAGAACTGTACAGCTTTTTAAGAAAAGTTAATAAGTCGTTTCGTGTAATCAGGTCGTATCCCTTCTTTTAGTTCAAGACATCCAGCACGCTCGCGCGCTGCTCGATCTCCTGCTGTCCGCCCGCGTTCGCTGCCCTCTCCAGTTGGTTGAGGCTCAATTCTAGAAATGAACGATTTTCAGCCCGGACTCCCAGCGCTATGCGACGTTCAAGAACAACATCTACAAGGTCCAGCTGGCACACGAGAACCGGCGGGAGAGCGACAAGTTTTGTGTAGGTTTTTTAATGTGTACGCAATTCGGGTTCCAGATCAGCCTTGGCCACGGCGTCCGGGCTTGGGCGGGCTTGCACGCCGCGTTGAAGCTCAATTTAATGTGCAAAGCGCCGCTCGTCAACGTTGATTGTGAGGGAATAATTGTGAAAGTATAACTCGTCTTTTCAGTGACCTACAAATTCTATTACCATGCAGGAAATACGCTACTGGATCAGTGCTTCGAGATACTGGAACGTGGGTTTGGTCTTTGATCTTGAGGAGCAGTTTTTTGAAAGATACAAACACAAAATTTGCTGTAAAACCGTCGAAATCCATTTCATAAAATTGAAATCGAGAATGCCAACATTTTGAAAGGTCGAGTTTTGCCATAAACAAATTTCGGCTGAACTCCAGATATTCCCCCCCCCCCCAGCCGGCCCCCGACTTTTGTATCTCGGCTCTCTGTTCATCTACAGTTGTGTTAAGTAGACCAGAATACCCGCCAGAGCAAGACGAACATTTTGGTATACTTTACGCACCTATACGACCAATAAGGAGCCGAGATACGAAAGTTGGGGGCCGGATGGGGGGTTATCTGGAGTCTTACCCAAATCTCCCCAAATTCCAAAATTATAAAATGGCATGGTCACGAATTTCGACATTATGAAAGTCGACGTTTTGAAGAGAAATGAAGCTATGGACCCCATTTTTTAGGCCGCCGCACTCCCGGCTTCAACATAAACGCCTTCGACGCTAAGCTGAACAGCAGAGGACGCAAGGACCTTTTGGAAGCCTTGCGAGGTTCTTTAATTCTTTCTTTCTTGATCGGATTTTCTAGGAGTGGAGTTGATTGCGTACCACACTTCCGCGCCACGCCGCTACAAAGTTTACGGGATTAGCGAAAAAACGGCCAGGACACACACGTTCCGGTATATCTCCTGTAACTTTTACATAGCAGCTGCTTAGGCTCGACGATGGTCAGTTTGCGTCGGTGGAGGAGTATTTTTTGATGCGTCACAACCTCCGGCTTCGCTATCCAAACCTGCCGCTAGTCAAGGTGCATAAAGTCAAGGTGGGTGTTTTTTTTGCCTGAGCTTTGAGTGACGGCGCGCTTGCGGCTTCGATTTCGTTTTTGCCCAGATTGAAAAATGCTTTTTCAGGAGACCTTCATGCCCTTCGAGGTCCTGCAGCTGACCGACGACCCCCAGAAGTATAAAGGGCAGCCCCGGGAGGAGCTATTGAGCGCCTTCGTAAGGGTAAGAAAACTTGTTTTTTTAGGGTGGGGAAACTGTTTTATTGGCGGCAGAACTAAAATTAAACTATCCTTGAAGGTATAAATACCTAGGCATTAATGAAATTCCCAATTTTTTTGGCAAAAAAAGTGATTTGGAACCCCAACATGACAAATTTTTTTATGTTTCTCAACATTGTTCCAGCTTTTTTAAAGTTTATGTTTCAAATCAACCAAAAAAAATTGAAATTTTCTCTCTTTATTGAATGAATCGCAACTTTTTCAGAGAAGCGCTCTTGGCCCCGCCGAGCGAGCCGATATGATCATGCAGATGGTGGGCGCTGACGATGAACAGCGGCAAGCCGGTGGTCTCGTGCCGCGCGACGAAATAATGGACCGCTGGGGAGTCGAATTGGACACGCAAATGCGCGAGGTCCCTGGCAAGATGCTCCGTCAGCCGCAACTCCAATTTGTGCGTCAGATTTCCTCAATTTTTGAAAATTATGCAGGGTCTAAAAGGGGATGTGACGTCAGTTGATCAATTCTTCATTGTTGTCACGATCAAGCAACCCTTTTCAAAAGCAGAATCTTTTACGAAGCAACCTAGCTTTGCACCGCCTGGTGCCGATTTTCAAAACTATATTGATCACGTAAGCAGAACCGCCTACTATAAATCTTGAAATGCTAAAAACCCGTGCTTCTATTGGCAGAAAGCATCAGCAACACCGTCAAATGTTTCCTAAACCCAAAATCAAAACATCACCTCCGTCCGAAGCCAGTACTGACAAAATTCAAGGCTAACAGCGACAATTTTTCTAAATTGAGCACTTTTTTCCTATTCGAGACACTACCTCCTAAAAGTCGTCAAAATATAGTTCTCCTCAGGAACTTTAACATTTTAGTTTTAAAAATCTGTGAAAAACCTCCCCAGGGTTGTATAAATAAGTTAAAACAGTTTGAAAGGGCACTGGGGAGTGGGGGTGGGGCGGGGTACCGTATGCCTGGGGGCGCGCAATAGCGGGACCGGGGCAGACGTGTGTAGGATTGGGGGACCCGTGGACGGTGGGGGGACCACTGGGGGGATCCCCCTGCCCCCGACTAGCAAGTGCGCGCAATGTGTGGTTAGATAGATCTCAATACTTGTTAAAGAGCTGCTATTTTTGATAATTTAAAATACAGCAGCATGTGGTTGTCGAAAGTTCTGAAATGCCGAGAGCCCCAACGAGCTAATTTGCTCTAATTTTCAAATTTTTACAGTCTCAAAGATTTGAGTGCCCAGCCTTTCAATTATTTAGAATTTTGGGTAGGTATACACTCTGATTTTCCATCGATTCTCTGTCAGGTAAATCAGAACTTTCTACTATTGTTTTGTCGGGCGAGCTCGACCAGAATTTTCCTCATTTCCAGAACAAAGCCAGCGGTACAGCCGTTTCGAGATTATATGGAAAGGGCAGGACCTCCGGTGGGGATCCCCCCGGGGGGGACGACGAAGTATAGAGAGGACTGTTCGATAGAAAAAGTTAGCTTAGTAACCTAAGGGAGGCCCCTTTGCAACGTTGAAATAGGGTTTTTATGAAAAAAAAGTAAAAGCTAAGCTTCAGATCTGGCGGTTTCGCCATGCCCAAGTCGGATAATGTTTTTTTATGGGGATCCTGTTTGTAGTTTCGATGCAAAACCCAAAATATGCAAAATCGGCATTCTGTAAATCGGCATTCTGTAAATCGGCATTCTGTAAATCGGCATTCTGTAAATCGGCATTTTGTAAATCGGCATTCTGTAAATCGGCATTTTGTAAAATCGGCATTCTGTAAATCGACATTTTGTAAAATCGGCATTTTGTAAATCGGCATTCTGTAAATCGGCATTCTGTGAATCGGCATTATGTAGGTAAATCGTCGACTCCACTTGGCTTGCCTCATCCGAGCCGGCAGTTGGCTGCGTCGAGTAGAAGATGGCCTTCGGCTCGGCGTTGTCCAAATTCGGCGGGAGCGCCAGCTTGTGTTGCCTGGAAAGAAACGCGCAAAGAAATGCGGACGGACGCGGACGGACGCGGACGGACGCGGACCCCCGATCATTGTGACCAACCCTGATCGGGACGGATAGTTTTGCTGCGCATTTTATACCTAAATTTTCATGTAAAACGCTGGTAACTGACAATAGAAACCGGAACCAGAGCGGCAAATCAGGAATTCGAATAAAAACCGGTAAAAGTGAGAGTTGTGAATCATTTTTCGTGCTGAATGGAATACAACAATGCCCGCTTATTAATATATCGGCATTTGGCGAAAAACAAGCACCAAATTCGGATACAGCGTCAAAAACCACCTTGGAAAGGTTTTTCGAGGGCTTGGATTGAACTTTTGTACTTCTCTAAAATCTTCTAGTCTAAAGTTAAATTTTCGCGCTCTAAAAGCTAGCTGTTTTGTCTTTTAAACAGTGACTCCTCGCTAGTTCAATATGTTTATGTCGAATTAAAGCGATAAATCACAAAATACAAATTGAACGAAGGGATAGCGATTGATATTAGGGGAGTATGGAAAACATTGCGGGAAGTTGTTTTTTTTCAGTTAGCTGGCAGCATTATTTCCTTGTGGAAAAAGGAAAATTAAATTGCGAGATTGCGCCAAATTAAACTAGTCGGAATTCGAGGCAGTGCAAAGCTTGGAAAAGCTTTCGCCGTTTTAAAATTGGCTAGAAAGAGTCGAGTACCCCAAGAAAAAGAGATGGCGGAAGTTAAAGGAAATTAATTTAATTTAAAGCGTTGAGAACTTTTAAACTTTAGAAATAAAGTGGTATGATAAATCTCCGGGTGGGCAGTGACGATCTAATGTTGAAAAAGACGGAATGGATTGTGGAGGGGAAAACCGAGAAAATGGAAGTGAGATGGCCATTTTTTTCTAAAGATAAAAGAGTAATGAAAAAGATAAAGGTGGGCTGTAAGAAATTAAAAAAATGTGATTTAGTCTCGTTCGTGGACGTTCTTCTTGGCGAGGATGCGGTCGACGTTGTATTTCGACATGTTCTGCAAGTTTTAACCGTTATTTTTAGTTTTTTTTTACAGGCTTTGATCAGGAAAATTGAAAAAGAGAAAATTGACAAGACAACATCTTTTTCGAGCGTAATCGATTATACCCCGAAGTTTCTTGCATGAAGTTCAAAAGTTTATAAGAGAAAACTAAACGAAATGGGGAGTAAAATACATGTTTTCTCGAGCGTAATAGATTATAGGTGGCATATTTTTGCTAGTTTCGAAATTTAGAAATATCTACCCGGCGGAAACGCAATGACCTACAAACTACACCGCCTTTCGAGCGTTTTCGATTCCGTACACGCATTAAGCTACAAATTAAACAGCTTTTTCGAGCTTAATCGAGTCAATTTTGCCTTTTTTGAAGCTTATAACTTCAGAAACCTCACCTCGACGCAGAGCACAATCAACTTGGAGTCGCAAGAGACCTTCTGCGCCATCCCCACCAACGGCATCCCGCGTTCCAACTACAAAACCTTTCGGTGATTCGTTCTTTGGTGTAAAACGTACAGGTGACGCGAGCGCGTTCTCCCAAGCACTACCAGTCCTCCAGCCATCGCAAAGAAGATCCGACGATCGGAGGCCGCCATCCACCGATCCGTGCCAGACACGGCGATCAGACCTGAAAATGGTCGATTCGGTTCTGGTTTCTTAGCGGGGGAGGAGCTGCTGCCTACTTAGCCAAGTTTTAGGGTTTTAATTCCTTTTGATGAATAAAAGTCATAAAAAATTGAAAGTTTTGTTATTTTCGTAAATTTTTGAGCAAGAATCAAAAAAATTTAGTAGTTTTTTGAATTTTTACGCCTAAAGCGGTCTATAAATATTTTTATAATTTTTTAATCAATACCAGGGTTGAAAAGCGCTACGCGGCTTTTCACCCCTGGCCTTTGCACGGGGTCTGAAGCTGTTGGGCACTTTGCATACTCTAGCAAATTAGTGCCAACCTCTCGACCTTAAAAATCACAAAAGCGACCGACTTTGAGCATGACAACATCCAAATTGAGCCTCCTAGCGCCTCGTATGCAAATGAGGGCATTTCCCTATGTTTTTAAAACACTAAAATAGGGTATAAATCGTCATTTTCTTAAAAATCTGATAAGCGTGCAGTAATCTACGCCCTCGAATACCCCTAAATACTTTTCGACTGAGCCCAAAAACCCTTCCCCCTTCGCGATATCTTGGTAACCCCGTTTTTTCGAGTCATTTATGCAAAGTGTCCACAGACACAGACACATACACTACTTTTTTATATATAGTAAGATTTAGATCGCTGAAAATCCATAGAAAATTTAAAAATTTAAATGTATTGCAAATTTAAATAGTTTTAGTGAAGTTTTTGTACTTAAAAATCGATAAAAGCCAGAACCCATATACTTTTCCGCAATGTTCTCTGCTAGCCTACCATTCAGATGATTGGAAGACGTCTTGACGATGGAATGACTGTAGAGCGACGCCATCAGCTGGTGGTCTACCCTCGATTAGTCCATCCCACGATGGCCACAGCTCTTCTCCATCCACATTCACCACACGGGTACCGCGATCCACTTTGTGCACAATGTTCACGAGGTCCTGAAAAGAATATAGTGAGGTACGGTAGTTTAAGTGTTATATAGTAGACCCGGTAAGTCTCGGTTCTTTTTTGAGCTAAAGGCCGGTAAGGTAGATCAAAACGTACGTTTTTCACTGGCGAACAAGAAAATATAAGTTATAAACCCTCAAAATTGACGAAACATAACGAAAATTGATCTAGAAAACGGAAATAAAAAATCACCTGTGTTTTACTGCTCAACAATGCGCGGAAAGTTGTTGAAAATCCGGCTTGGCGCGCTTCTTTATAGCATTGTAGATCAGCACCTCGAAGACCGGACATACGTCCCGACATTGGTTGATTTAGGGCGATCAGGTGAAGCTGGAAAAAGGGTTATAGCAAAAAAAACTAAAATGTCTTTTGCTCTCTTTCGCTCTCGCTCCCTCTCTCTCCCCCTCTCTCTCGCTAGCTCACTCTCTCTCACTCACTCGCTCGCTCCCTCTCGTACTCTCCTTTCCTCTCTCTCTCTCTCTCTCTCTCTCTCTCTCTCTCTCTCTCGCTCTCTCTCTTTCTCTCTCCCTCTCCCCCTCTCTCTCTCTCCCTAATTATCTCCACCCACCACCCTCTCTTTCTCCTGTGGATGTCCCGCCGGCAGTTGATGATCATAGTAGTACGAATTTCGCACAGGATTCTAATAGTTGCCCTAATTACCGTAAGCCCTGGGCAATACCTGTACTCTCGGCTCCTCGGCCATCGGCTGTTTCTGCGTCTCAATAGGTGGGGTTTCCTGAAATTTTACAATCCGTAAAACCTCTTGATTTTTGCACAATTTCAGGACTATGAACTTCAACAAAGCATATTTGGGGTAAATTGGGGGTTTTTGGCTCTATCTAGTATCTACCCGTGGGGGCTCTAATCGACGAACGACACAATTATTGGGGGCGGTTTTGTGCCCCGTAAAAAAGAGGTTCTGGTGCGTTAGCGGGGGGAGGGCCTGGTTTTTCCTACGTTTTAATGACCTTTACGCTCTTTGCTAAAACTATTTGTAAAAAATTATATAAGTAAAAAAATCAGGCATGCTTTTAATAATAGGAAATACTAATATTTATGTTTATTAGGATACACGCGCTACTAAATAAAATAGGTTTACACCCCCCCACGCTAACGCACCAGAACCCACAAAAAGAGAACACTGTCGATTGTGGCCCACGGTGCGACTACGGTAGCTTGGAGAGAGAAGGGCACTATTTAGGGGGGACTGACCCAAACACAAGGGGGATTGGGAGGGAGATGATGAAAATGTAAGGGGGGCTTTTGGCGGGAGGTAGGGGGTTTAACGGGCTTTGGCTTGGCTTGGCTTCAAATTGGCGAGGTCTCCCTGTCTCTCTCTCTCTCACTGTCTCTCTCTCTCTTTCTCTTTAAAGGGCCATTGAAGTCAATAGCCAAGCCTGACCCATCAAACCCATGGCCAACACGTGCTATCTGGTGCCCCAGTTACCGTAACCGAGCGACGCGCCGTGATGGCGGGCAATCGACACCGGTGTCGCTGCACGACTGCCCGATCGCCCAGCTGGAAGGCGAGGGATAGAGAGAGAGAGAGAGAGAGAGAGAGAGAGAAAGCGAGAGAGAGCGAGATAGAGAGAGATACAGAGTGACTTTCATCTCGTAAAAAAAAGCTTGGAAAACATGGGTGATGCTGCTTTCATTCAATTTTGGACAACACGACATTTCCTCATACCCAATATTCCAGCGTGTTCGAGCGCAAATTGTTTTCCGATACGATCGGCTTGAAAGATATTTTTTCAAGAGGCTGACTAGTGTGTCAGAATCGACCCCTGCCTTTTGCTGGGTCTCGACAGCGACGCGATAGTTCACAAGACCCAAATACGCTGAGATTCATCGTCTTTTGAAGTGCTAAGTAGCCGTCGAGAACTAATCGATAGAAGAGGTCGATTCTTGCTTCTCGTGGCCCATTAAAGGGGCCACGAGAAGCAAGATTAATTTGGGGAAAATCAACCCCTTGCGATGACTGGCTGTCGATAGCTATGCGACACTCCAAAAAGACGCTAATCAGCCAATCTTCATCGTCTTTTGGAGCGATACGTAGCGGTCGAGACCCGGCCTATATAGGGGTCGATTCCGGCGCTTTCCGGTACCTTTACAGGAACTGTCAAGGCATGTCTATGGATTTTTTCGCAAAGCCTCCTTGTAAAATTCATAGATTTCACTTGATGACGGCGGCGTTTAAAGGGACTGGTAAGTCCGAGCATCGACCCTACGAACCATTAAATCTCGACGACGGCGTGACACACCAAATAACACCAAAAAATTCTATACAGCGTCATTTGGTGCATCACCTAACTATTGATACTTTGGACTTTGAAAAACTAGATTTTCGCCGCTTCTGCGTTCCTTTAAAACTTAATTGCCATAACCTACCGTAGATGGACGAGCCTCGAGTATCGGATGATATTGACCGAGCTGAAAATTCAGGATTAGATGCCGTAATCAATTCCTTTACCATCACTTCCCGCCAACCATTTGTGACGCGAATGAACAGCTGCTGAGATGACGTGACAAAGGCTAGACTGCCCTCACTGGGGGTTGCGGTAGTTGGGGCAGGGTTTAAAGAACGTACCGGAGATGGCGGCCAAGCCCGAACAGGTCAACGGTTGTCTGGAAGATTGGGGCAGTGGCAGGGCCGGAAGAGGAGGAAGAGCCTGAATTTCCTAAACTCTCAAAAATCGCCGCTATCTCGCTTAAATTCCCCAATAATCACTACTAACTCGCCTACCAAAAACTCCCCAAGAAATTCTGCTAGCTCACAAAAAAATTTATTTCCCAGAAAATCAATGCTAGCCTCCGAAATTCCCCAAGGATCGCTGCTAGTTTTATCAAAATTCCGCAAAGAATCACGCCAGTGCGCAAAAAGAATCCTTAAGGATCCCTGCTAGCCTTCAAAGCTCCAAATTTCGCAAATAATCTCTGCTAGCTTCCCAAAATTCCTTAAAAAGAGTAATAAAACACCGCAAAATTCACGATTCCCCAGAAACCACCGCTAGTCTGGCCTACCTCCTCCCGAATTTCCATCGATTCCAGGGGGTCCGGGTGGCCCTGGGGGTCCTTGGTCTCCACGATCACCTTTCGGGCCCTAAACAATTGAAATAGGGCTACGGTAATACAGTAATATCCATAAAAATAAAAAGTTTACCTTGCTGTGCTGGGAGTGTACTTCAGAATTGTAGGCCGGGAGTTGATCTAGGCTGTTGCTGCGTTCACATTCGCCTTTTTCGCCCTGAAAATGGAGAGAGATGGCCAGAGCGAGAAAAGAGAGAGAGAGAGAGAGAGAGAGAGACAGAGAGAGAGGGAGAGAGAGAGATAGAGAGATAGAGAAAACGGTAGTAGAAAATGGAACGCCGGCATACGGCATTCCATACGGCATTTTCCGCCAATTTTCCAGCTTGATGGTGATTGCGACGTCTTCGAGGCGTCCAGGTTTATCATTTTAAGGCTCTACCCCAGCCGATGTAGATTTACAAGTTTCATGCGGTTTAGTTTGAGCGGTTGAAAGCGAGTCAGCGGAGAGAGAGAGAGAGATAGAGAGAGAGAGAGAGAGAGAGAGAGCTAGAGAAAAACATACCTTAACCCTGGGATCAGCAATAATCCTTTCATAGTCCTCCTCAGCCAATCTATCAAACGATCGTCCGTCCCTACCCGGCATTCCCGGCTCACCGCGAGGCCCTAGCAATTTTATTAAAGGGATTGGCTAGCCAGAAAACCTTGAACACCTTGCGAACCCTGAACTCCAGGTGGGCCCTGTGGTCCAGGTGGTCCGGGGATCGTGACCCCGCCGCTTCCGCTGCTTTGTACGGCAATTCCGGGAGGCCCGGGCGGGCCTGAAAATCGGGTATGATTGTCGACACCTAGGCGCTTGAAGGGGTTGGTTTTCAGCCTTGCTGGTACCTTCAAAGAGTACTCCGCAGCGAGAGAGAGAGAGAGAGAGAGAGAGAGATGAGAGAGGGAAAGATAAATGCCCTACCTGCCGGTCCCTGCGGCCCCTGTGGGCCCTGAACACCTTGGGGCCCGTCGGGTCCTGGTGGGCCCACAATCCCGTCACGACACGGCATCGAGCACTGAAAAATGGCATTAAAGGGAGCAGAACAAAGCTAAAAAAAGCTAAAAATTAAAGCAAGAAAAAAGCGCTTAATAAATTAGATAAATTAAAACAAGGTTGTCAATATTTAAAAATTGAAATAGGTTAATTAAACTAAAATCTTGATAAAGAAGCCATAAAAGTCGAATCAAATTGGATTAAATGAAAACTTACCACCCCCGGCTCTCCGCGATCTCCCTTTGGCCCCTGGAGTCCCTGGGCGACGAACGAGCTCGACGAAGTGTACGCTGAAAAGGGAAATTTACGTATTTAGAAATTGGCCAATTCTACGGTAGCCTGCAAAATCGGCCTAGGGATCGTTCTCTTTTCTGGGGGACAATACAATCTCTCTCATTCCCTAGCGCTCTCTCCAATCAATCCGCGCATTAATGGCAGGCATATCTAGCGGGCGGGCACTACGCGACAGTACTCTTGACACCGCGACCGGCGAATGGAACAATCAGACTGTCCCCATCCATATCCACAAGGTTGGCCCGACTAGCCCATGGTTCGGGACGGGCGGCTGAAAAATGGGCAATTTCCGCAAAGAATCCCTGCTATCTCGCCCTTGGTACGGCAGAATTAAAGGGATCTAGACACACCAAAAAACAGTGAGAAAAATTGATTCCCCCCCCCCCCCGATTGTGTAAAAGCACCGAAAAGGGGTAAGGCACGGAAAAATCGGGATTTTCAGGTTTAAAAGACTATTGAAGCCCTCGTCTATAGGTGCATATCGTACTCGGAAGTTTAGAGACGCCAAAAACGTAAGCAATGAGCGTTTTAAAGGGCCATTGAGGGCGAATGGACCCTCGTCCATAGGTGTACTACGTACTCAAAACGATAAACCACCATACCCTGCTCGCGCATAAAATCTGGAGGTGGCGGTGGTGGTGGTGTCGGAGCTGGCGGAAGTTCAAGCATTGGCTGTGAAGACCGTGTCTTCCCTAAAAAAATTACCTAGCTACCGTAACCCTACACCACCGATACCTGGTCCATCTTCATCCAAAACCCCGCCCGAGCCCTCGTCCTAAACAAAAGCATTTTGTTTCCCTATTTTTATGATTTTTGGCTTTACAGCAATTTTCTAAAACGCGACAACACCATGGGGGGGAAGGGTACACTTTAGGGAACCAGGGAAAATCGGGGTTTTCCCGGCTGCAAACCTACCTTTCTGCCCGGGTTCTTGCGGCGTCGCCACTAGAGAAAATGAGATCATCTACCGTAACCGATAAAGTACCCCGAAATCTACGGTAAATCGAATTTTTCGATTTTTAACAGCAAGTCTAATCCGAAAATTCAAAAAAAAAACTTTAAATAGCTGCCTAACATAAATGAAATTCTATAAAGCATCCTTGAAAACTTGCAAATTCCATTAAAACCACCAGAAATATCTATTCCGTCCAAAATACACTTGATCTACCGTATCCGAAAATTCAAAAAACATTTAAATAGCTGCCTACCGTAACGCAAGTGCAAAAAATTGCTTATAAGGTTACAAATGCCTTCGAAACAACGAGAAACTTTCGATTCCCTCTAAAATGCACTCGAGCTATCGTATCCCCAGAAAAAAAAGAAAATGAATTTAAAAGGCCGTCCGCGGGTCACCCGAACGGACCCCAATATGGCTTGGCACAGTTTTTTTCGACCCCACTTTTTTGACGCCATCGGATAGAGCATGGTCGAATTAGTGGGACTGCATAGTTTTGAAAGTTTAAAAAGTTTAATTTGGGGGTTTAAATGGACGTTGAAGTTGCAGACCCCCAAAAATTATCTTGGAAGTTACTTAACCAAATTCGCTGAAAATTTGTGCCAATACCTAATTTTGGACGGGGATCATTTCTCTAATACATTGCAAAGCGTGAAAATGGCCGGAACATAGGAATCTCGCGTACACAAAACAGTTTTTGGAGTTTTTCGTTGTGAAGGGTTGTTGGCTGCGCGCTGTAAATAGCATAGAAAGATGCGCAAAAACTTTCTGCATCGAATGGTGTATCATTTAGCGCGCAGACAGTAACCCTTCATATTCAAAAAACGCGATTTTTAAACGGGAGAAAAGCTGTAACGTACTCCCGAGGTTTGGATATTTTGAAAAATCGGAAACGGGTATGGGGTCTAAAGATAAAACTGTATCCATTGCAAAAAAAGAGTAAAAAGAAATTCCCTTCCCACTCGGAACTGACGATTTGCGGGGATCGAACCCGCGATGGTCCGCCTTGGGGGCACTGGGGACAGCCGCTAGTGGGCGCCGCCATGTCCCAGGCGAACGACCCGAGTTCAATCCCAGCCCCCTCTCAAAAGACGAATTTCTTTTTGCTCTTTTTTGCGATCGTGCGGTTGGACCCTCTAGATGGGAGTCCATGTTTTAGTTTTCATAAATATTCGAATTTTTCTTTTGGTACCCTATAAGCCCTTTTTTCAAAATGAAGGGTTTCTGTCTGCGCGCTAAATGATACACCATTCGATGCAGAAAGTTTTTGCGCATCTTTCTATGCTATTTACAGCGCGCAGCCAACAACCCTTCACAACGAAAATTTCCAAAAACTGTTTTGTGTACGCGAGATTCCTATGTTCCGGCCATTTTCACGCTTTGCAATGTATTAGAGAAATGATCCCCGTCCAAAATTAGGTATTGGCACAAATTTTCAGCGAATTTGGTTAAGTAACTTCCAAGATAATTTTTGGGGGTCTGCAACTTCAACGTCCATTTAAACCCCCAAATTAAACTTTTTAAAATTTCAAAACTATGCAGTCCCACTAATTCGACCATGCTCTATCCGATGGCGTCAAAAAAGTGGGGTCGAAAAACAGACTGTGCCAAGCCTAGTTCGGGTGGCTCGCAAACGGCCTTTTAACCTCAAAGGCTGAAAATCCGGTGCTAGGGCATTCTCGGGTGTGCTGATTTTTTTGTATAAGTTCAGCTGTATTGTATAAGTTTTTGTATAATGTAATATCAAGTATTTTACTAGGGGTAACTTTAAATTTAACTATATTTAAAGCCAAAAATCATATAAAACTAAAAAAATGTTGAAATTCTAAATTTTTGTCGAACATCGATATTTTCGTAATTTTTTTTTTGCTGAAATTTGTATAATGTATTGCGTTTAATAATAGTCAATAAAAAATTGTTACTAAAGGAAGACCCCCGTTAATGCAAAAGCACCTAAAATCTCCGTTCTCCCTATATTTTACCCCAGCTACCGTAACCCCGCCCAAAAATGGCTCAATTTTCGAACCCATCGTTCATCGCATTGCCTAGCCGCTTCAGCCGGTTCATCCATAATCTTCAGTTCTTGGATGGCGCCCTAAACAACGGAATGCTCCAATGGACATACCTGTTCTACAGCATCATCCACCCTCTCACTGTCTGCCCCCTCTTCCGAGACACGCAACAATTCCAATCGTGGCAGCTGATCAACTTCTGATGGCACGACAAGTTCTGGGAGTGCATCCGGCACGTCGACAATGGAATAAGAGCCATCTTCGGCTTGTTCATCTCCAACCACTTCCCATGGTTGTTCAGTTGTTGAGTGGATGGTTTCGTCGTCATCAAAAGCTAACTCGAATTGACCCAGAAAATCGTTGGCGTCTTCGTCGGTTTCTCGCTTTGTTCTGGCGCCTGTAGATGCTCTTGTTCTAGCATCTAGTTTATTCTCGGTCCCTTGAACTGCTGGGACTTGTTGGCCCAATTTCCGAACGGATACTGTTGACGCGAGCCTTCTGGAGTCTATTTTGCGCTCGTTCCCTTGAACTGCTTGAACCTGTTGGCCTAGTTTCCGAGAGGATACTATTTTCGGTTCTTTTGTGAAGTCCATTTTGACGCCTGTTTCTAGGCCTTGAACTGCTTGAACTTGTTGGCCAGCCTTTTCCAGGATTCCTGTACCCGCAAGTCTGCTGGAGACTATTCTGGGCTCTGGTCGTACTGCTCGAGCTCGTTGGCCAGATTTTCTAGGGGCTGCTGTTGATGATTTAGTTGTGGAGTCGACTTTTCGAGTTTTCTCTTGAATCTCTTGACCTTGTTGCTCCAGTTTTCGAGGCGCTGCTGTTGATGGTAGCCATCTTAAGTCAATTTTCTCATGTTCTATCCGGGTCTCCTGCCCGTCTTGAACTTGTTGACTCAATTTCCGATCAACTAATGTTGACGGAAGTCCCGCCGTACTCTTCGTCAGCAGATCATCTTCGGTCTCATTGGCTAGTGTCTTTTCGGATTGGTTTTTTGTTGGTATAAGAGGCCCTCAGACTGGACTAGGGCCTCTTCTCGGGGATTTGCGTCGCCTACGGAGGACAACTGTAGACAAGCGAGGAGAACGAGGAGACGAGGTTCGGGGGGACGCATTCTGAAGCTAGTGATAGAGCGAGAGAAAGAGCGAGAGAGCGAGAGATAGAGAGCGAGAGAGAGAGTGAGAGAAAGAGAGAGATAGAGGATGGAGAGATGTCTGGGCATGCTAGTTTGAATTTAATGAGAGTTTTTTAGCCGTTGAGTTTTTTGAGTCAGACAGTCCATCCCATTATTTCCCCCGAGGAATGATTGGACCGAGAGAGACAGGCAAAAAGAGAGAGAGACAAAGTCCGCCGGCTATGGGAATATTTGCCCCCCATTAACCGCCCCTGCACTTTCCCCAGCGGCCAAAAAAAAAGAAAGTCGGGCCGGCTAGGGGTACGGTAGGAAAGTTGGGATTTAGGCCCAACGACGATCAAAGTAGCTGACTTTAAACTCAAATAACCGTTTCAACGGTAAAAAAATCCCTAGAAAATCCGAAAAAGTTTTAAAATAGCCGTCTTACAATTAGTACGGTAAAAAAGGCTGAAAATTTCGATTTCCGCCTAAGAATGTAATTTTTCAAATGTTTGACTTTTCAATTAAGATCAAAATACCGTAACTACGATAGAAAACGATAAAATCTCAATTGATGCAAAAAATTGTGCAAATTAACTGTATAAATCGGGTAAAAACACAAAAATGACCGGTGGCGACGAGAAAAAAACTATTTCGGACAGAAAACAGAGAATTGCACATTTTCCTGTTGACGGTTTTCTTAAGTATGCCCCTTATCGAACAACAGAATCATCAAAAACAGAAAAAATTCGAAACTACAGCCAATTTCGCCAGGGGGATTGTTTGCGCGCCAGACGGCCAATAATGCGCCGAGAATTTTGTTTCCAAAACTGTCAATAGGAAAATGTGGAATATCGAAAACTGGGAAAACGCAAAAATCCCGACAACCATTATCTCGACAATAAAAATGCCGACATAAAAGTAGCTGGTTAAGGAAGTGGCATTTAAATAACTTACGCGTCGGTATTTTGACTGTCGGCATTTTGGATGTCGGTATTTCGGGTGTCGGGATTATAGCTAGGATTATCGAAAATAATCTTATGACATTTTCATACTAAATAAAAAATAACAAAAAGTTGTTTTCGGGGCGTGACTACGCGACTGTACGATGGACAAATGGGTAATGGAAGGTGAGTGAGAGCCATGGGAGGAAAACAATTTGAGGATGAGTCAATCGGGGAGGAGGAGCAGGAGGACGGAAAGGGTAGAAAAGGCTAAAAAGGCTATTTTATAATTAACTGTATTGCTTTTAGTTTTACTGTTCATATCTTTAAAAAATTAATTTAAAATATTGCCCTTTAAATGTCGAGCTTTTAAAGGCACAAATGCGAAATTTAGCCAAATTGTTGATGGTTTTAGATTATTAAATCACGAATTTCGACAAAAATTCGTAATGGGAGGATTTTTGAGCCGCGGAAATTGAATGAGGAAAGACTGTCTGTCTCCTGCCCCAGGGCTCATTTTAATGTTTTGATTTTCTGGCAAAAAGGAGGGGGTTGAATCATTCTATCCGACCGCTCTCACCATTCTCGATACAGACTAAAACATCGCGAACTGACACCGATATTGAAAGTGATCTGGGATGGGAGAGAGAGAGAGAAAGAGAGAGAGAGAGAGATAGAGAGAAAGAGGGAGATAGAGTGAGCGCGAACGCGATAAAGAACCGTCTCCTTACATCATTGAATCGTTGGATCATTTCTTTCCGGCGTCTTCAAGCCGTCCAGCCTCAGAATTCGCTGCTCCATGTCCGTTCGATACGCACTTTCGACGTTTTCGAGCCGTTCAGCTTCGCCTCCTGACAGGCTGACGCTGTGACAAAGCCCTGACGTCCTCAATACGGTCAGCTCAAGGCTGCAAAGTTCGACATGAGGCCATGTCGCTATTTGAAGCATTCTCCGATGTCTTCACGCCGTTCGGTCTCAATGAAAAGTCTGCTGTTTTTCTCGATATCAAACTTCTTCAAGCAGTTCAGCTCGAGGATCCAAATATTGTTTCCGACGTCTTCAAGCCGTTCATCTCTTCATTGTCAGAGGGGGGCAGACAATTCACTCTACAGTACCCCCAGCCGTAAATAGACGTACCTCGTAGCCGCTCTTAATAATTGGGCCCGCGCCGGCAATATAGAGCTTGTGAGCATCTTCCATGTGAAGTTGTTCCGGGACACGGTTTACCTGGAGGGGTAATAAATGATTTTAAAGGAGCATGGAAAGCAAAATTGTTGGCGTAAGTAAAAATCAATACATAGATTTCTGGCAAAACACGTACCCTGATCGCCGAGTATCGAACACATTTGAAGTAGAGGATCACCTCGTCACGGCGGACCTGAAAATATTAGTTAGGCTGCGGCTTGGTTGGAGCACGAGCTTAAGGAGCTTAGGGCTTACGATTAGTTTAGCCTAGCATCGACTTCGGCTTACTTAGTCTTCAGCCCCACTTTTTTGCAGGGTTAGGACCGGTTTAGGCTTCGGCTGAGGCTTAGCTTCGGCTTCGGCTTATGCTTCGTTTAGAGGCTTAGCTTCGGCATAAGTTAAGCTGTTCCCTTGGCATTGGAGCACGAGCTTAGGGTATCGTGACTTGGCCTAGTCATCGGCTTAGGCTTAGTGTCAGGCTTAGGCTAAGCTTGGGCTTAGCTTAGGCTTAGCTTAGGCTTAGGCCTAGTCTTTGATTGAAGCTTAAGCTCCATACCTCAAGCGCAAACTGTGTCCACTCCTGCTCAAATTGCGGCACTAGAAATGAGGCGATAGCCTTGGAATAGGTGTCCGTTCTCGAGTTGCTGTACATCAACGTGATGTTCGTCCGGCCAGAGTCTAAAAATAGACAGATATACGTCAATAAAATACATAACAAATCAATAAAGAAATAATCTGTTCCCAAATGCTCTCTGCTAGCCTGCCCCCACTCACCAGCCGGTTCCAACAACACCCCCAAGTCGACGATCGTGTCGAACGGGTTGACGGTGGCGAACAAATAGCCGCCACGGCGGTCGGAGGGTTTCACAGCGGCCAGGATGGCGAATTCCTAGAGCGTAAGAGTACGGTAATCGGGGCGTGAAATAAAAGTTACCCGGAAGAATCGCTTGGGAAAATAGAGACGGTATGGGGTCACGATGGTCACGCCGCGCTGAAAAATATAAAATTTGGAGCGGATTTGATTTTGTTGGTTCACTCCATGCATTTCGGTGGAGAGCGAGAGAGCGAGAGTGAGTGGAAAGAGAGAGAGAGAGAGACAGTCAGAGATCGAGAGAGAGGGAGAGGGAGAGTGACAGAGAAAGCGAGAAAGCGAGCGAGAGAAAGAGAAGTGGGGGAGAGATTCCTGCGTCTTCAAGGCGTTCAGCTTCATAATTGGCAGGTGCATGAAATAATGTCGCAAATGAGCGCATTTCGGAGAAGCTAAAGATAAAAACACGGAGAGAGACAGAGAAAGAGAGAGAGTGAGAGAGAGCGACAGAGAGAGGGAGGGAGAAAGAAAGACAGAGATCAACAGATAGTAAAAATGCCACGCAAAATCTGATATCAAAACCCGCTTAGCAAAGCTTTTAAAGGTGTTTGTCAAGCGTCACACTCCATTCTGTCTGTCTGTCTGCAGATTTGGGTGAAGCATGCGGTGCTTGGCGCGTTGCGTTCTGGCTTTTTAGCTTTTTTTTCCGTTCTCAAACTCACACTCCCCGGGCGGGCAAAAGCAGGTCTTACCTCCTAAAATATGTGTTTTCAATCATCAATTATTATTTTTAATTATGAGCCAGTTTTTTTTTAGGTTTAACAAACCTGAATTCCAATAGCGGGCAATCCGTCTATTCCGCGCGCGCGGAAAACGCGCTCATCGGTGTTCAGCGCCGATTCGACCGGCACGAGGAGGTCGACCTCGCTTTCGGCATCTAAAAACGACTTTTTGATTTTTCCAGCGGCACTTTTATCTTTTCTTTGTACCTTTAGAAACCCCTTAAAAAATTTCCGCGATTCGGAAAAAAAGTTTCCGCCGCCGGGGGTCGAACCCTGGCCCTTCGCCTGTCAGCCAAGAACAATACCAATACACCACTTATTTTATTGATTTTTTCGAATGAAAAAGTTAGGATTCAGTTTAAGAAACTTTTCCGTCATTTTTTCAGCATTCCTACAAGGCATCTTCGGCCCCAGGGGCCACTAATCCGTGCCCCTAAACCATCAAGCTCCCGTTTGGTTTCCTATTTTACGACGCGCCATGACCTCCAGTGAGGGCGGCCCAAACCCCGATTTTTAAAGATCTTTTGGAGGCCGGCCTTGAGTCCTGGGCCATTTAAAGGGGTCGTTAACCTCAAAAAGTAATTACCATAACCCTCGATTTATGTTAAAAACTCCTTAAAATGAGCGTTTTAAAGGTACGTGGAAGGCACGAATTGTTTATACGACTCGCAAAGCCTTGGATTTCCTCTGCGTAATGGATCGATCCAAATTCAAAGCGTTGAAAATCTGTGGAAATCCATATCCATACCTTGCAAGTTCCTTTAAAAACCTTAAAAAGTCCAAATTTGCATAAACCTTCCGTATGGCCTACAAAGCCTCGAAAACAATTTTTTTTCGAGTTAAATTCATGCTCTAAAATTCCAAAAATGCTGGTATAAATAGGAGATTTTTCTTTGTGCTTTTTGACCATATCGGCGCCCGAAATCTGGGCTTGAGGGGTGGAGAAGAGGGTTGCGGAATGTTTTTCATTGGTCCCTGGGGGGTTATTTATCAAATAGAGGGGGAGGAGGAGGTACAAGACACTCCTAGAAACATATCTCTCTCTCTCTCTCTCTCTCTCCTTCTCTCTTCTCTCTATCTTTCACTGTCACTCTCATTAGCTCTCGCTTTCTCTCTCTCTCTCTCTCTCTCTCTCTCTCACTATCTCTCTCACTAACTGATGCTCGCTCTGACTTACTAGCTGCGTCTCTCTCTCACTCTCTCTCACTCTCTCTCTCTCTCTCTCTCTCTCTCTCTCTCTCTCTCTCTCTCTCTCTCTCTCTCTGATTTACCTGTGTCCTCAGAATCGAGCGGATTCCCAATCTCATCAAATGCCTGGGCCACAGCTATTAGGGCCCAGGCGAAGAGCAACAATCTGGGGCCCATGGCCATTCAGGTTTCTTCGCTACGGTAGTCAGTGGAGGGGGGCAACATTTAGCAAATAGCAACGAGAACGGAAGAAGGGTTGGCTGAAACGAGCTGAAAAAATCAGAAAAGCACGAAAAAATACAGAAAATAGTAGGAAAATTCGGGATTCCAGAAAAGTTAAGATGTAGGCTAGCAGAGATTCTTGGGGAGGTTGGATGTCATTTAAAGGGCCAAACAAGGCCGGGTTAAATCCATAGCCAAAACTTGCGGGGCTTTTTATGAAGTTTATCAAGGGATGTGAAGGCAAAAATCCATAGCCAAGGCTTGCCAGATCCGTTAGAGGCATTCTAAAGGAGCTGTGAAGGCAAGAATCCAAAGCCAAGACTTGCCAGGCCCTTTAAAAAGCTTTAAAGGAGCTGTGAAGCTTAGTTCCATACCCAAGCCTTGCCAAAGCATTTAAAACTTTTTCAAATGTCCAAAAATCCATAAAACAAGCAGGAGAAAAGCATAAGCCCCCAGCAAAATATTGTGTTTAACCTCGGGCAAACCCCTCAGGAGAAGGCGACACTTTTCATGAGGTATTACGTGGGGAGGGGTGTGGAGCTTGGCCCCTTTTGGGCCCCCCATTCTCTAAGGATGGGACCTAAGGCGGGGGCCAGGGAAGGGGCCAAAGGAGAAGCCGAAGCAAGGGCCCCTCCTCCAACCGGAAACAAAAGATATTCTTCGACTAGTGGTCTTGGCAGAAGGGGGGTCGAAACGCACGACCGGGATTTCCTTGGCAGAGGGCCCATGGTTAGGGCCCAAATATGGGCCACCTTATGGGCCCACTCAATCTATCAACGGCCAAGGTTAGTGAATAAAAATATAATTTTACGGATATGAGGGCGCATTAATAGTCTTAAAGGGGCATTTTCGAGCATGAGCAAATTGGCAGAAAATATTTCGGAGCATGAAGAAACGAGGAGTCGATTCAGGAGCATGAGCAAGTGAGTAAAGATCATTTGGGAGCACTGGGCATGCAGCGGTCATTTTGGAGCATGGGCACAAGAGCAGATATTATTTTGAAGCGGGGCGAGCGAGCAGAGACCGTTTAGTGGATCGGCAAAACAGTGGCAGAATTGGAGCATGAGCTAAATAGTAGCGCGCATTTGGGAGATACAGGGTTCCATTCGGGAGCATGAGCAAGCTAATTGAGACGATTTTAGGGCCCCAGAAAATTAGCAGAGAGCTTTTGGGGACGAACAGTGGCGAATTTGGAGCATGAGCGATCGAGCAGAGGCCATTCGCGAGCGAGGGCAAACTAGCCATACGCAAAATTTGGCTTCCAAGTCCTTTTAAACCTGCAAGGACCGCGCGTAGTAGTGGGACAGGTTTTAGGGCGCATTGTCAACCGTATTGTCAACCCCGTAATTTGTAGTAAACCGTACACGAGGATTGTATCCAAAACAGGTTTCTGCTTGAAAACGCGGTTAAAGGGATTATAGAGCCAGAAAGGGCTTGACCTGAGACACGAAAAGCACAAAGGGGGTATGAAGGTCGGGGGGGGATGATTCATTAGTTCCCTAGCGGGTGTGACCAAGCCTTCTTTAGAATTTTTTTTGATGGAAGGCAGCGTTTAGCGAACAAAAGGCTTAGGCTCAGGCTTAGCTTAAGCACAACCTTAGGCTTAGGCTGGGACTAGGGTAAAAGTTAGGCTTAGAGAGAAAGAGGCCTAGCCTTAAACTTAGGCTTAGGCTCCGACTTATGAGGCTTGGCTTAGGCTTAGATTTAGCCTTAGCTAGACTTAGGATCAGGCTTAAGCTTATCAGGCTTGGCTTACCCGCGCTTAACTTATGCTCAAACTTAGGCTTGGGTTTAGCTGAGCCTTATCTGAAGCTCAGGCCAAGGATAGGCTTATTCTCAAGCCCCCCTAAAATAACGTACGGTCAAGGGCAACCGGGCTGTGCTGCTAAACGGTGATGTTAATGGGATGGCCGGTGGGTGACAGTACAGAAGAGGGAGAGAGCGAGAGTGAGAGAGAGAGAGAGAGAGAGAGAGAGAGACAAATGGTCTCCCTCTGTTGGCCCCTCCCCCACCTGTCGTCCTTGTCTCCCTATGGTCGGTTTAACCACAATGGCCCATCCCCATTCCCGACACACGGTAATTGGGGAGGAGGAGGAGGGGAGGGGGAGGGGAAAGCACGATTTATGAGGACAACATCAATATTTCATTGGGGAGGGCCAGGAGGGGGCCATACCGCCTTTGGTGTGTTGGGTAGACTTTTGGCAAAGGTCCAAGAGGGGTACTGTATCTTAAAGGATTGATTTCGGCGAAATTCAGGGATTGAAATTTGCCTTAATAGGTCTTTAAAAAATTCTCTCTTATCATTCTACCTTGACTACTAAAATTGATTCTCTCGCTTCTCCCTGTCGATACCTAGCTCTCTCGTACTCTCTCCCTATTTCTCTAGCTTTATCGCTCACCGATTTCTCAAGTAATCTCTGTCATGCACTACCGATCCGGATTTCGGCCAGAGAGCGAGAGAGAGAGAGAGAGAGAGAGAGAGAGATAGTGAGTGAGTGAAAGATACAAGTTAGTGAGTGACATCGAGAGTGGGAGAGATAGCGAGAGAGTGAACGAGAGAGATTGCAGTAAAAATTAAGCTAAACATCCAGTAAAATTACAAAAACCAATGTAACCTAGCCAATCTATACAAATTGTCCACTTTTTAGAATTCAGTCCATTAGTTTCCCCGGTCTAAAAGGGCGTGAAATAGCCGGGAGCTTTCAGAAAAGAATAGCAACACTTTGCTCTGCTTTGAAGCGTTGTGAATATTCGATTTCCGGACACGACATGGCCACACCTCTGTCTATAGAATAGAAAGAAGATGATGATGAAGCGGGAAAAGCCTCGTATCGTCCCTCTCAGTAGAAGAAGATGTCGTCTTCTTCTTCCCTATCGTGTGCCCACAAACCCTTGATGGCATTTGATGAATTGGCCTCCGGGTGGGCCCCAACAAGACCCGGGGATTTGGGGAGCGCAGGGCCCGGAAACTCGTGGAATTGGTTGACATTTTGACGGGAGAATTGGAGGAGGGGTATGCTAGCAGGGATCCTTTAGGAATTATGAGACCAACTCAAAGCTTTAGGCAAACTAGCATGGATCCTTGAGGAATCGGAAGCAGGGCTAGCAGACTAGCAGAGTTTTGGACAGTTAGAAGCCCGAAAAGGCCAATCCGGATTCTGGAACATCTGAGCAGGCTAGCAAAGACCATTTGGGAATTTAAAGACTGTTAAAAATAAGAAGCAGACTAGCAGAAAACCTTGAGGAAATTGTAAGCGGCCTGGCAGGCCAGCAGAGAGCATTTTGGAAATCTAAATAAGACGCAAAAATGAGGGGAAACTAGCCGAGAACCTTGAGGATTCAAAAACCAGCTAGCGAAGCTAGTAGAGACAGTTTTGGAACATTTAGGAGCACCGAAACCTCATCGTAAAGCAGATGGCCTGAAACTCAATTTAACGGCAGGCTAGCAGAGACCGTTGAGGAATCCGAATAGACATGGGACACCGGCTGTGAAATGACCCCGGCTGGACAGCACCCCACCGACCCATCGGGCCACGTTTTTACCGGATTTTACGGTTTGTCAGCGCGGAAATGGGCAAAAGAAAGGGCCAAAGAAGAGAGAGAGAGAGAGAGAGAGAGAGAGAGAAACAGCTAGGGTTGGACGAGGCCAGATGTCGCGCCTCAAAAAAAGGAGAAGAAAGGAGGGGCAGACATCGGGGGTGGCGTATAAACCGACAAAAAGCACATCGGACAGCCGGGAGACGGGATGGAAAGTGTCCGTTACAAGCCTATCAACGGGATGTTTTACGGATGTTTTTGAGAAAAAAATGATGCCAGATGGGGCAACTAGCAGAGATTATTGGGCAATTGAAAAATTTGAATTTAATACCCGGAACAGTTTTTAAGCATTTTTCCACACAAAAAATGGCTGGGCGAGCTGGCACTGTTTCTTGAGGAAAAGAAGCGGGTAAATTTTGAAACTTAGAAGGATTAGTTCAAAACTTGTATAAAAA